TTTTTCAGCGTTACGAGCGTTCACAGCTGAAGTGACGTCTGTCGGGAGTATAAAATCCGGTTACGCCCTTACGTTTGTTCCACTTCTACTACTGGCACACCTGTGGTACTCGCACAGTGATTAATGAAAATTTGCATACATAAGCAATCTTGTTGTTGTTTGTTGTGTAATACTTATACTTTGCGATTATTCGTTCTCTTCAAAATTCGCATATTATGATAATTTTTGCTTTACCTGGCGTATAGTTATATTGCAGTACCACATGTAACATCGCTTCTCTGCGCTGCCGGGCGATCATAATATGTGTTTAGAACCAACTGTAGAGATGGAAGCAAAGTAGGCGAGCATTACAAGCACTTGCTTGCGACGAAGTGAGTAACCAGAACATCGTCCGTCGCCCTCAGAGAAGATAGTGGTCTCTTTTATAGTTTGGGGTGGTTTAGCTGCACAGTAGGATAGTTTATGAAATGTAATTTAGTGACCAACTGGCGTTTAATCTTAGAAGGGCAAGCTGCTAGTCTCCACTAGATCTGTGGTGTCGAGAATTTCACCAGTATAATAGCCAATAAGACTCTGTTTCTTCCAGACGCATTTAACACTTGAGTGATGCGGGACTGAATAATTGAGTCAGAAAGTTAAAACCTTCTCCGTATTCAGTTTCTGTGAGGGGCTGAGGCACTCTGAGGCAATCCGAGTGGTTGCAAGTGCCAACAACTACCACCTGTTAGTATTTTTGTCGGTAACTCCTCTTTTCTCCCCGAGCCGTATTAGCATGATGACGGTGAGGCTGCTAATTTGAGATGTGAAAGTCCAGAACGAAGAAGGCTGGCGCCGCTGTGGCTCAATATTGATATTCCCAAAAAATATAGAATCTTTCCACCAACTACTCTCTACAACCTTGGTAATCTTAAGCGAAATCATCAATGAATTTTCAGCAACTGGTTGAGGATGGAGCTGAAAATCGAGAGCTCTATTCTGCCAGTACAGCAGTTAACTCCCCTCAGTCATTTCGATGGTAAATCGGTACTGGCATATTTCATGAAGTCAAACCCTCCATCAGCTTACTTCAAGTAACCCTCGAAGAGGGTTTGACTTCATGAAATATGCCAGTACCGATTTACCATCGAAATGACTGAGGGGAGTTAACTGCTGTACTGGCAGAATAGAGCTCTCGATTTTCAGCTCCATCCTCAACCAGTTGCTGAAAATTCATTGATGATTTCGCTTAAGATTACCAAGGTTGTAGAGAGTAGTTGGTGGAAAGATTCTATATTTTTTGGGAATATCAATATTGAGCCACAGCGGCGCCAGCCTTCTTCGTTCTGGACTTTCACATCTCAAATTAGCAGCCTCACCGTCATCATGCTAATACGGCTCGGGGAGTTCATACTGCCACGTTTTCTTCTAAAAAACTGTTTCTAAACAGCCGAAGAGGAGATGGAGCCATTTGGAGTTGTGAGGTTCAGGATCGAAATACCTAGATAAAGCTATGTTTGGTGCGTGAGAATATCTCAGCAACATTATTAACATGTGATACCCAAATTAACTACCCAAGCTTTTTCAGTGTTTTTGGTTATTAACTAAATACATGAAAATATGCTGTCTGCTTTCAAATGTCTGCTCGAATTATGAAGAAACATGAAAATTTCACAGGCCTATAACGAACTGAAAGTGATGCTAAATAATTTAACTAAAAAATGTTTTTAAAAGTTCTATTGTCGCTAGAAATAAGACTGGTAAAAAAGCTAAGTACTTCAACAAGATCTTCGTTGAAAATTCAAAAAGTCATATGAGTTTTGGTCATGTCAGCTTTTAACTGGATAAACACTTTCCCCTCGTTTATCACAAATTTAAACGTATTCGAAATAACTCAAGTTCATTTCCTTTTTGTGTCGTGACAGTCTTAACTCATTTCTGAAAACAGTTTCACCTCTTTTTCAAGGGAACCTCATCCTTGAGAA